CTTTCATCACTCTTATCGAACCGGCAATCGATCGCAAACGGTAACAGTGGTCAGTTATTGTTCGCGTACGTCGTCGTGTTTATTTACAATGTTCTTGAATCAAGAGTTCGCCGACATGTTGTTAGTTTACGGTGAAGCTCGTCAGAATTCAAATCTTGCAGCTCAAATTTATCGCAAGAGATTTCGCCAACGGGTACACCCAGACAGAAGGACATTTGTGCAAGTGTACCAAAGACTTCGAGATACAGGAAGTGTTCAGCCCACTAATATTCGCACTCGTGAAAGACAGGTTACTGTAGAGCAGGAGGAACAAATTTTAAATATCGTGGAAATCATTGCAGATATCAGCACTCGGGAATTAGGCCGCCGCGTAGGACTATCGCATACCATAGTCCATAGAATCCTACGGGAAAATTGGCTTTATCCCTACCATGTACAACGAGTGCAGGCCTTGTTACCAGAAGACTATCCTCGCAGACTAACATTCTGTCAGTGGTTTTTGCACAAAAACATTGATTATCCGGATTTTTTTAAAAACATTCTAGCGACGGACGAATGTACTTTTACGCGAGACGGGATACTAAATCTCCATAATACTCACACGTGGGCCCAAGAAAATCCTCGTGCCATTCGCAAAGGTCATTTCCAACAACGTTTTAAAATAAATATTTGGGCAGGTATTCTTGTCGATCAGGTGATTGGCCCTTTCGAGTTACCCCCAAAGTTGTCAGGAGAAGGATACCTTAGGTTTATAGCCAATAACCTACCAGAACTTTTGGAACAGACCTTGGACAACATGCCATTACAACGGATACATAATTTGTGGTTTCTTCATGACGGGGCACCACCACACATTTTTAGAGGCGTCATTCAGTATTTGAATGAACATTATCCAAATCCCTGGATCGGTCGAAATGCTCCTAATCCTCGAAAATGGCCAGCAAGGTCTCCTGACCTCAATCCGATGGATTTCTGGTATTAGGGAGAACTTAAAGGGTTGGTTTATGGGGCTGGTCTAATAACAACTGAAGCACAACTTCGCGAAAAAAAATTGAATGCGGCTGAAATAATAAATGGACAACTTCGTGGACCTAGAGTAAGAAGAAACTGGGTTCGTCGTAATGAAGCTTTTGTGGACAGTGGAGGACGACATTTTGAACACCTTCTTTGAATACTAAAAAAGTGCAGTGTGGGTTTTAAAAGAAAAACAATGTATGTATCAAAATTGTGTTCCCTATTTATAAGTGGATTTTTTTAATAAGTTCAATAAACTTTCACACACCAGATGAAGCGCTGAGGCAGTTAGTGGTAAGTCCGTTTTTTTAATTGTTTGCATTTTACATTATCAGTACATTATCAAATAATGAACTGAGTGGCCACTGAGCACTGTAGTCTTTTCTTCATTCTGTACTTCCCCAAGGGATAGAATAAAATAGATTGAAAACAGCGCGTTCAATGATTTTCAGTTCTCAGAGAAAGATTTTCCCCTGCCGGCCCTTGACATCGTTTCGAAATATGAAATTCTGGAAACGCTGTAAAAATAAAAATGAATACACAAAGCCTACTTACCTATTTCAGACAAAAACAAAAACAACTGCCACATAACGATTGTCACCTTGACATCATTCTGCAATCTGTCAAAGTAGTGATGGGCGTGCCTGCTGCATGGTATACGGTATCGATATTCGATAAAATATTTTTCTTTCTACCACGATTGCATGGAAAAAACAAAATAAGGAGAGATCTAAAATAAGGAGTTATTGAAGGCCTAAAATAGCCAGGCGCTAATAATTCCTGGCCGTATTTGAATATCTAAGCAGGCACAGTAAAACAAAAATAAGACTTGGAATTAATAAAGTTTATTTCGACAGTTGGCAGAGTTTGACGAAGTGTTGACGGATCCCACAGAATTATGTGTCACTTGTCGATATGGTTAGTTTTAAAATATCAGGAGATAATCAGCTGTTATTCAAATCAGTGTATATGTTTTGTGATTCAAATAACGTCTAATATAAATATAACCCAGAATATGTACCCAGTGAAAAAAGAAAAATATTGCAAATTTCTAGTTTTTCTGCAGGTTTTAGGTTTGCTGGTAGCTCTACGACATATATTTGGGTATTTCTTAATCGCTAATATAGTGTGGATGTTTGTTAAGTTCCTGAACAACGAAAAATATTCAACTTTATGGATGTATGGATATTAAAAAACCAGATCGGTTTTGTGGGAATATCAATCTAAGGTGCCATAATGGTTCTGATGAACGGCAAGTAAATGAATGAATGTTTGGAAACGAGCAATATCTATGAACTTTTTGGTAGAGCCAGTCATCAAGTAGGTACTTAATGGCTATCTGCAAGAGATTTATAGGAAAAAACACCTAGTAGATGATCTTGAATTAGTAAAATCGCATATCAATTGAAGAAAATAATATAAACATGAATAAAAAATCAACAATAGTAATTAAATCATGAATTTTATTCAAAACTCAAACATTTGTTTAAATTTTGACTGAATTATATGTAATTTCTTAATATTCAATAAGCTGATGATGTTTCAATGACAAGATGTCAGTCATCTCATACTGACAGTATTTTGTTTTCAACATTTCATAGCTATTGCTTGCTAAAATTTGTTGATTGGAACTTGAAGCTCATTCGCTGTATTTGACGGGCTGTTACCCTATAGGTGGAGAATAACGGACTGTTGTTGGTGAAATTAGCCCTTAGGGAAACAATGTTTGAATCTTTTGCTTGGGTACCTAGCCTACATTGAGTGTTAAAGTAATTGTAGAGAGAGATAATGGTCGCGTAAGCTTCGTAAAATAAATAAAACATTGCCAGCAGAATCTTGGAAAGGCTCACAATAAAAACATTAGCGATATTCCCAACGTGAGGGACTGCATATGAATCCCCTGTGGATGTGCTGGCGGTCAATATCTCTTCGACGTATTTTAGGCTGTCAGACGCTGCCCGGAGTGTGAGTGTGGGAGGTTTTTTATGCTATTTTCGCTGGAACGTGAGAGGGCACAGGGTGAGAGCGACTCCGAGAGAAAATCATTAATAGAGGTTTGAAAACGATGGAAAAAGAGAGAAACTGCCCACGGCTGGAGAGTATGGTTTCTGGGAGAAGCGAAATTTTCAGATTTAGGATCGTTAATAACCTAAGACATATCACAAGAGGAAAATATAATAAATTGCACAGTTTGTATATCAGTGTTTCTGAAAGTGGGCGATAAGGCACTCTTGTGGTCGCTGGAGACCTACTGGAGGGAGGGGTGGGAGGCGATAAAGAGCTTAAAGGAAATAGGGGCGATCAATTGACTTAGGGGGCCCGTTCTTCTATTGTCACAACGACATTTGCTCTTAGAACGACACCCCCCCTCCTCGCTCTTCAATTTACAATTTTCTATAGGGTCAAGTGGGGGCAATTATGAGACATTATTTAAAACTTTTGATTTTTTTACGCATAAATGACAATACAATAAAAATAGAAAAATATGTTTATGTGCAGAAATATATGTAAAACCTATTTAGTTGGTTAATTTGTCAATAAAATATCCACTTTTTTAAAAAAAATAATATTTTTATGTCTCATTTTTTACCTCTCGTTAGGTACAATTATGAGACAGGCTATGGGCAAAACTGAGACATAATTAAAAAACATGTTTAAGTAAAAAAATGATACAAAATCTATATTAAAAAATACCTATTTTTTTTTATGAAACACAGAAAATCAGCTGGTAAAAATTTAAGGTTGTTTAATGAGTTGCCCTTACGCCGAAGATAAGATACTACAGGAGAACCATTATTATCTATCGATTCAACATTAGCAACGTAATATACAATCTTCTTTTTCTTGGGAAATTGTACTAGTACGTAGTCGTCTTTCTTAGTAGCGGATGTATTTAGATTTTGATCGGGCTCAATTTCACTCTCCACAATATTTTTTAATGTCAAATTTTCCGGGTCACTTTTATATTCATAGATTTCTCCAATCGCCTCGTCTTCACTGTCACTTAATACTTCATTCTTCTTTTTGTTGGCTTTTTTCTTATGTGACTTTCCTTTTTCCGTTTTAGAAATAATTTCTTGCATGTAGTCAGAACTAGTTAATACTTTAGCAGACCCATCTATTTTGCCCCTTTTTTGCCTATTTGGAGTTGTTCTTTTAACCTTCGCGAGTAGAAGTGACTCGAAAGAGATAGGACCTTGATCAATGTCGGCACTGCCATCGCTTGTGCTAGGTACGGCTGGAGGTACAATGGATAAAAATTCTGACGGGGAGAGTGAATTGTTTTCTGCAGTGTTATGGAGAACACTTTGAGACTGAGGCAAAGTTGAATTAGTATTTGTACAATTAAGGGACTGCTGGGAAAAATCTTGTTCCTCTGAAATTTCTAGTTGGTCAACTGTACTTCCTGCATTATACCTTTTCAGTTTCTCGGGATCTAAACGATCCATGGGGTATTTTGTTCTATCACAGGGAAAGACTCCAGTACTAGAAAAGGAAGAAATGATTGTTTCCTTATTTATTCCCTCGCTCCATAATTCACATAATAAGTCAACAAATTCCGATTTCGTTATTTTTCTTTGATTTTCACGTTGCCAGTTAATTATTTTTTCATTCCAACGGAGTTTGAGTGGTCCAAAGCAGCATCTATCCAAAGGTTGTAAAAGATCCGTTGTGTGTGATGGAAGTTCCAGTAAAGTTATGTTTTCTGCGATTGCCCGTTCAATTGTAGTTTTGTCCAAATGGGTAATGTGACCATCGAGAATTATAAGTAATGGTCTTCCAGGTACTATCTCACAAAATTTTATGAACCATTGCTGAAAAATATTGGTAGTCATCCAGCCTTTTTCCGAGCATGCATAAGTTGGGTCCTTGAAAAATAATCAATGGTGGCAGTAATCTACCGGCAGCTGAAATGCATGCCATGACAGAGGTGTTTTCTTTTCCTGAGCCTTCTATATTCCTATGCACTTTTTATCCCTTTCCAGCCGCACCCTTAATACGAGAAGGATCGGAAGAGAAACTGGTTTCATCTATGTTCCAGATAAGGTCAGGTGAGTTATTTAAGTTTAGTTTATTGATGGTTTCCTGTACGCGGTCGTAGAATCCATAAACCAAAAATGGATCGCTGGTTGCAGTTCGTTTAGCTCTAATTGCTCCATCTTTCTTTGCCTTTGACAAAAAGCACGAAACCAGTCATGTCCAGGTTTGCCGTTTATAAATTGAGTTGTAATGTTATTCTCAATTACAAATGATTGGGCCTTTTCTAAGATTTCTAGTTTTGTCATAGCAAAACCCCATTTTGCCAAAATTCTAATTTTTTCCGCAGGTCATGCTCCATTTAGGGTGTAAGATCGGTTTTTCGGCCTTGTATTTGATTGTGCTTTCCATGGACGCGCCTGCTTAACGTGGATGTGTCGATTTTAAAGCATTTTGATGCCTTTCTTAAACTAATCATACCTTCTTTGATAAGGTTTAATGGTGTATGAAGGTCTTCAACGTTATATGATTTTATTTTTTTTACATATTTTCTTGGCATTTTGCTAAAAAATATACGGTTGTCCAATAGGGACGCAGGAAAGTAAACGTCAATTTGACACAGACGCCATCTTTTCCGACATGACATTTTATTAGTTGAATGTTTACCATTGATCGCTATGGAGTCGTATTCGATTGAAGACCGCATTAAAGTTATTCAAGAGCACTACAAAAATGGTGCAAAAATAAAAAACACGTTTCGCGCGCTTCGTGAACATATCGGTCGCAACAACCGCCCAAACGAAACAACCATCGGTCGTCTGGTGCGTAAATTCGAGGCAACAGGTTCTGTGGCAAATCTGCCAGGCTCTGGCCGCCCAAGGAGCGTTCGCACACCGGAAAATATTGCTGTTGTGAAGGAGAGTGTGAGAGACGATCCGAAACAATCAACAACGCGTTGATCCCAAGAATTGGGCATTTCGAGAACCAGTTTGCTCCGCATTCTCCACAAGGATTTGAATGTACACGCCTACAAGATCCAATTGACGAAAGAGCTGCGTCGGGCCGACCGTTTTTCGCGCCGAACGTTCTCAGATTGGCTCCTTGAACACCGCCAAATTGATGCCAATTTTTCATCAAAAATCATATTCAGCGACGAAGCGCATTTCACTTTGAATGGGACGGTAAACAAGCAAAACTGCCGCATCTGGGCGAACGAAATCTCCGTCAGTATCAAGAGCAGCCGATGCATCCTCAAAAAGTGACTGTGTGGTGTGCATTGTGGTCAAAAGGCATCATCGGACCTTACTTTTTCGAAAATGCGGCCGGGGACGCCGTTACCGTCAATTCTGAGCGATATCACGTGCTGATAGAGGACTATTTTTTGCTGCAACTTGAAGGAATGGATATGGACGATGTTTATTTCCAACAAGACGGTGCAACATGCCACACAACCAACGTCAATATCCATCGATTGCAGTCCTTCTTCGGTGATCGCGTGATTTCGGGCAGAGGAAATGTGCCATGGCCACCAAGATCGTGCGATTTGACTCCCTTGGACTTCTTTTTATGGGGATATTTGAAAAGCAAAGTCTACGTCAACAAACCAGCCACCCTTCAAGAACTCAAAAACAACATCATTGCCGAGATAAATGCCATAGAACCGACCATGTTGCAAAATGTCATTGAAAATTTCGACCATCGCGTGGACGTCTGTAAATCCAGTCGTGGTGAACATTTGAGCGATATTATTTTTCATACATAAATGGTATAAATGAACCTTCAAAATAAAGTACCCAACTTGATTTGAATATCAATCTTTCTTGTTTTAATATGCGTTTACTTTCCTGCGTCCGTTTTGGACAACGCCATATAATTATTAGTCTCACTTTTCCTAACCTTGTCTCATATTTACCCCAAAGAGTGTCTCACTTTTGCACCTGCTAAACAATTCGACGTAACGCCACTACGCTTCAAGACAGACTGCCGCTCAAATCACCTAACGACTAATTTTTTTTTTTTTTTTTTGGTGAGGGGGGAATGCATTTACGCACCATACCATAGCCCGAGCTACGGCGTATGTGGGACTCCAGGGTCTTGAGGAGATCACCTAATACCCACTAATCCCTAAACCTCCGCGTGGCCTGACTCATCAGCGTCTCGGTAGGCCATGTGTTGTGCGTGACCTGCGGTCTGCTACAACGTCTCCTCATGTGTTTCAGTCTCTGGGAACGCCGGGTTGGTTCCCTTTACCTCGCACATTCTATCGATGTCGTTAAGCGGTCATCGATAGAGGGTCTGCTGGTTCTTTTGAAACTCTTGTTTTCGAAAAATCAAGAGTTTCAAGTCCTCTTACCAATATGTTGTTCCTGGTCCTGGTCCTGAAGGGTCCTGGTCCTGGTGGGTCCTGGTCGTGGCGGGTCCTGGTCCTGGTTGGTCCTGGTCCCGGTGGGTGCTGGTCCCGGTGGTTCCTGGTCCTCTGCATCCACACCCTGGGGGGGGGGGGGGGTAGCAACCGCGAGTTCTCCTAGTCTCCTAGTCAAGGTTCCAGTTAGCGGGTGCCAACTGGGACCTTGGTCTGGGGTACCTGGTTCTGCGGTTGCGAGGCCTCTCGTCCGGATCGTAGTCCATGAGGAATCGTAGCTGCTCGTTCGGGTGGTCCTGAGCTTTCTCGAAGGTCTTCTCCGCTTTTTTCCTCATGTACTCGTGGATGGTGTCCCAATGCAGGTCTCTACGCAAGGTTGAGTTTCTTACGTAGGATGGTGCACTGATGGCGATCCGGAGTAGCTTCATCTCTAGAGCAGCAAGTCGCTTGCGGTAGCTGGGGGCAGCGTACCCCCAGACCGCGGAGGCGTAAGCGAGCTGAGGTCTGGCGATGGCCTTGATCAGCCGTAGCTTGGTCGCTAGCGGCATCCGGCTGTGTCTACCCAGTAATGGGTAGAGTTGAGCCATGGCTGCTCTGGTCTTTGCGATGACAACTTCTATGTGGGCTTTCCAGGTGAGGGACTTGTCAAATACGATCCCCAGATATTTGACTTTGTCGCTCCACTGGATATCTTCGTCGAAGATGGATGCTTCGAGAGGTCTTGCAATCCTTCTTCGTTGAATGAAGGTTGCCTGCGTCTTCTGGACGTTGATGCGGATTTTCCATTTCACGCACCAGTCCTGGATGTGGCCCAGTTTATTCTGTAGTCTCCTACGGATGATCTCGGGTCGTCTATGCTTGGCGGCTATAGCAGTATCGTCTGCATATAGGGCCAGCATTGTGTCAGCTGTCTTCGGCACATCGTGAGTATAGATAACGACTAAATAAGTATTTGGAGTATATTTCAAGGTTTACCGATTTTCCCCGAGTCAAACAGAGGCGGAACGACCAAAAGTTGCGAAATGAAATTTAAAAGTTTGTTCATGTAAAAATGCATAGACTATTCTTGTGGTATTTTTCAACATTAAACGAATATTAGGTTTATGTTTTAATTGCGTAATAAGGTACATAAAAGTTTTAGCTATCGTTGACCTTAAATTCATATCAAAATTCTGTTTTTTTCTTTAAAAATGCTGTCTTATTTTTGTACCACTTTTTTCAATGTCTCAGATTTGCACCACATGACCCTATCAAGATAGTGATAATGATAAAGACAGACATTCTAAAAAATTCCGAGGGACCCTAGGAAATAATTGATTCTCAAAGTGGGCAATAGACGGAACAAGGAAATCAAGGAAAAAACCGAGGAACCGCCCTTACTATGAAGTGGTAAAATGTATATTATTGATCTAATATTAGAACTCAGAAACCTCTCCTCTTCATAAGAATATTCATTCTTAGAAGCACTGATTTAGTAGACGACGTCGCCACCACCCTCCCAGCTCTTCAATTTTCAATCACAGATCCACCACAAGACATACATTCTAAAAAATTTCCAGGAGCCTAGGGACATTTTTTTTATACTCCAACCACCATGAAGGCCTAAGGCCTAAACACCCGTGGGGCTATAGGGGGATACAGGGGAAAGGGGGCACGCCACACGGACTCTGGCGAGGGAACACGTGTGCATGAAACATACACACATTCTGGCCCCGCCTACGAGATCCGCCGGGTGGTACAATCATGGACAATGACACCATCCATAGCCAAGAGAAAAATTTCTCCTGGGTCGGGATTTGAACCCGCACAGCGCGCGGAGTCTGATCAGGAGACCGAAGAGTCTACTACTGCGGCCACTGTTGCTGACTGACAAATAAATAATTGATTCTTAAAGACGAGACAAGGAAAACAAGTAAAAACACCGTGGAACCGCCATTACTACGAAGTGATAAAATGTATATTATTGATCCGATTTTTGAACTGTCCAAGATTATTAGAACTGAGAAACCTCTCCAGGCTACATGTCGTTTAACTACCGGTCAGAGTTATACAGAGAATGAGCATCAGAAGTCTGACATGGAATTTTTAGATGAGGCGAAAACATTTCCCGATTGGATTTTGTTTTCATAATCACGTGTTTTGGATTGATATGAAACAAGGGGTTTCTTAGATTTTCTGGATCATTATCAATAAGAAATGCCCCAAGTAACTTTTGTCTAAAGTTGACCATTCTCAAGTCCAAATAATCCCAGAAAGGGCCATTTTGAATACTTAAATTCTTATTTTTGAGGATACAAGTGTCTAAATTAAAACCGGCACCCTTGAAGAGCCGGGATATCATTTTGAACTGTAATATTCTGCATCAGGGGCGGAAGTCGAAAACATTATTTGAGGGGTACCATATGCAATTAGCTGCTCAAAAAGTGGTGCTGGAGGGCGGGGGGCGACAGGAATCATCTCCAGGAAGATGTCCGTCTCGGGAGGGGGGAGGGGGTTAGGGTATCGGCGATTGAAAATTGAAGAGCCAGAGGATTTCCGATTCAAAATTGAAGAGCGATAGTAATCTGCAAATTGGAAACTCCTTCGAATTTTTTTTTATATATATTTCGAGGGGTCCAGATCTCCAGGCCACCCTCCTAGATCCGCCATTGTTCCGTATGCTAGAAAAGGCGATTCTGAGAAAAACGAGTCCGAAGATTCATCACAGGAATG